AGCTGCCGATTGGAATCCAGCACTAGCCTCCGTTGACGTTCCATCGAACAACAGAGAGTGAAGCGGTTGGGCGCCTTTGTCAACTTCCTCGTTACGGAAGTGATCGACAAAATCGTGGCACGGATACAAAAGACTTAGGTAGACAGATAATATTAACATTAACTAGTATTACTGCGTAGCGGTCTTCTTTGCAATACATATCAACACATCAAGCAAGGATGAATAGAGAAAAAATTAAAAGGAGAAAGCAGTCAAAAGCGGTAGGCACTCGTGGAAAGTGGGCAAAGAGGAATGACCACTAAAAGTCAACATGATTAAAATGAAGATAAGTTGTGGATTCACCTGTACCATTTAGATGGATTCTGAGCTATACCAAAGGATCAACTTATCGTCGCCAAACTGCTCCATCTATGGTGCCAACATCATATCCAACCATTTATTAACGGTTGAGTGAACTGCACCACAATTTGAGTCCTTCCACCATGTGACTGTGAAGCATGGTCGTTAAGGGTAAAAGACCCAAGAAGACTTCAACTTTTTGAAAATTGTTGTCTTCATAGTATAAACCGTATGTTAGTGCCACTTTATCAGTCAAGTGGAAGTCAGACGTTTTGGGTAGAAGAGAAAATTCAGTTGATGAGATCGTTGACTTTCATCAGTTTAAGGTGACCGGGACATGTCACACATGCCTAGTTACAATCTATCTAATCGTTCAACTGGCTGAAGTGGGTTCAGGTTACAAAAGGGTTAAATGTCGACAGATTAAAACAGCATAAGTTCAAGAAGTCTTTGAGCATTAGTATGAACGCGGTACAGAAATTAAAACTTTCTGGATGGATTTCACACGACAACTGAAATGGGCGAATGGAAACTTTGGTTGATATGCCTAAGAACTGATCTCAGTGGTGAAGATGCATTCACACATTATCTTCATCGTTAACTTTCATAGCGAGTTTCAAAACTGTTCCACTCCGCTTCGTTCTCTTTCCATGACTGTCTATCACTTCTCATTACTTTTTTTTCTTATTTTTCGATTTTTGATCTCGATGTCTTTTAACTTAGTGTGCTGATATAAGGTGTAACAACTTACGCAGCAATGATAGGTCTCACATTGAGAGTGACACGGATTGCCGAGCAAATTTTTAAGTCATTTCACTTAGTTGACGTTCCCAATCTCATTGACTGATTTGTCTACCTTCCTTAGTACTTCCGCCTAACCTCATTATTGCGCTCAGATGGTTGCTTCACCATACGCCAGTAATTCTACGAATAAATCTACGGTCAGAAACCTGTACGTTCTTTGTATTATCTACTTTCAGTCGTACAATAAGACAACAAACTACAGAACATTCAACTCACCTTTCAACAGATAGTCAGAAACCTCACCGGCCCATATGTTAGTAAATATCAAACAGACCTTTCGTATTCATATTGAATCCTCGACAGCAACCAATCCACTCAGGTTGATGCAACCCTACAAACAAGTGAAGAGGTCAATGAGCCCCATCAATTCACTTCCTATCCTTAGATCAGAAGTTGGTGCATATCGTTACTGAGGCATGTTCCTGCAAATCATATCAAATATAGAGTTCGTTGAAAATGCCCAGTAAACTCCGAATTTTCGCAGTCTTCGCTCAATAAAACTAAGTCGTCTATTGACCTCAAGTCAGCCAGGTGCTATCGAGGTAGTAAGTGAATCCACACCTCTGTATATGCATGCAATATACACATCCAAATGAATTCTAAAAAATACAGTCACTATGGATATGAGAAACAGAATGAGGGATGGAAAAAATATCGCCAACATTAAATCAACGATGAACGCAGATAGATTATATTGCCATAAGCCATCGTTGGAGGATTGCCGCTCTTTCTTGAGTACCTATATGGACTCCGATCACGCGTTAGTACGGGCTCGTGTATATCTGCACCTTTCTAGTCGCAAAAACCTGCAGCAGTTAAGCCTTTGTGTGTTAGACTGAAAGATGAGAACATCAAGTACACATTTAAGGAGATAACTAAGCATTTATCTGAACACGACAGCAATGCTCATCCTGAGATATACTCACGTGATAGTAAGTCCGCTATAGAAACGGCGGTAGGGACGGTCTGTAGACTACATCCAAAGGTTAGTAAAAGTCATTGAATCTCTGCAACGTCATCTGAACTGATTGATGAGAGAAGACTGATTCCAGCTCGTTCAGACCACAATGAGGAGCGAAAGTAACTGAAACGTAAATTGATCATGAGTCCTCGTGATGACTGCGAGCAGTGGTGGGCGCCGAAAGCGAGAGAGATGGGGAACGCATCAGCATTAGGTAATATGCACCAATTACTTAGACGTATTAAAGAAACTGGTAAAAAGATGACGGTTAATGAGACCATCACCGAAAAGGTTGCTATCTAGGAGTCGGCTAAAACCTTGAGCAGGAAATTTTGAAGTACAGTGTAACCAGTTATCAGCAGTGCTTCAGTTGCCCCTCATATATCCTGAGTGACTTGGACATAGATTTTGATCCTTGAGCTATGTTCTAAGTTGAGAAGACTGTATCAAACCTGAAACGAATCAAAGCACCATAACCTAATGGTCTGCCACTAACACTGTTTAAAGAAGGTGGAGAATTACTGAGTAGAGTAATGGCGGCAATAAGTGGTCAGTGGTATTCACATCAGACTAGTCCACTTCACCGATCATCTCAGTCTATAAGAAGGGAGAGTTGAATTGCGATAACCATAGGGCAATCGTTTTAACATCGCGTTAAACATCCTTAGGTACACAGTTATTCGACACCTAACTGGAGCTGGAAAATTAAAAACACGGGAAATTAGGCAGGCTGCAGACCTGGACGGGGTGTGTCGGTCAGTTTATCCTTCTTCAAGTTCTGGAACACAGACATACGTACCGGCGGTAGACACTTGCCACATTTCTCGACCTGAAGGCGGCCTTTGACTTAGTTGACCATGAGGTGTTGTGGCAGTGTCTGACTGTGTAGGGAGCGCCAAGCAAGTTTCTAACGTTAATAAAAACTCTCTACTCAAACTCGCACACCAGTATAAGCGATTATGGTGATTTGTCATGCGAATTGACGACAACCAGTAGTGTCCACTATGGAGGGAGGCCTGCTATCACTGTTCTTGTTCAACTTCGTTACATATCTACCAATGTATATAACCTTAGGTAACTTCACATGGACTGACCTACTCCCTAGAGGCTACCCGGTCGACTTGGAATATGCAGACGATATTGTCCTGTCCTGTAGGTGAAGACGCTGACAAAATGGAGGGTCTTGTGAACGCGTTGAGTAGAAATCTGAGTATGTTTGACATGCGTTTCTCTGGTACCTATCAAATATAAGAGGATGCTCCAGGATTAGTATCCAACGACTCGGAGCGTAATGATAGGGAGTGAAGTGGTGTAGTGTGTCGACCACTTCACTTACTTGAGGAGTTGCGTCAGTTGGCCGCCGGACGGGTTGGTTTCTGACGAAATCTCAGCTGTGATGCAGAAGGTCCGTTTGGTATTTGCTAACTTGTCATCCATGTTGTCGACTGGCGAGATATCCGAAGAATGAGTATACTGCACTGCATTCCGTTCTGTCCTGTAATACGTCTGTGAGACATGACAGTTGAAAGTAGAAGACATGAAGTGGTTAGAAACATTTGGTGACAGGTGTTTTCGTAGCATTGCTTGCGTATGTTGGAATTACCGTGTAAGCACTGTTTATGTTAGACAAGACAAACAAGTCCATTGATGTAGTTTTTTCTGTTAGTGAAGTGGGATGGCTTTGAGATGTACTGCTCATGCCGATTCACTGCTTACCTCGGTGTGTCATGCTGGGAAAGCTGGATTAGGTTGGGATGGGTTTTGGGTGACCAGCTGAAGGCGCTACCAGTGGATGAAGTCCGGGACTGATAGTTTGTGTCGCGTGGTGGAGATGTAGATTGCCTAGTTGGAGTCTTGGAGAGGAAAGGAATCAATGGTTGAAAACTTTTGGTGACATGGCTGGGAATCGGTTTTTATGGCGCAGATGTATTAACTCTTTGAGATCTTTTGAAGCTTGAATTCGCCCACTAACCTTTATCTTCATAATATTTATGTACTCACTTTTTTTATCTACTTTGATATCACTCCTTTTCTTTACACCTGTTCTTTGTGTGTTACTGTGAAGTGTGAGAACTTGAACTGATGCAGTTGTATGCGAGATTCTGGGTTAATTTGGTCAATGAGATATTGTTGGAGCTACTGTATACATGTTGGTAGTGAGAAATGCGTGCCAAGCATTCTCACATTACCACTGAAGGTGTCCAGAAGACTTTTCAGCTTGTCACCGTCTTCACCTAATAGGATTATATCATTTGCTTGCTGTAAATCTACTAAGGAGTCTCGTATGACACAGTTATGTCAGATGAAGAGAATGCCACCTCCTTAAACGTGTCTGAAAGAAGTCAGTAAGAATAAAGAGTTTGGATATTCTTGATGAACACAGTTCAACGTACACAACTCAACTGAAACAGCCATGGGTTCTAACAATCCCACCGGTGTTGGAACATAGAGTCTTGAGCAGGGTTATGTTCTTACTCGACACCCTTTTTAGTCAGTCACTACCATATCTCGAACTACGCAGTTGAATACAGGTTTTCGGTCAAGCGATGCAGCTAGTCGTGGGCATCAGTAAATTTGCTTGTGTTTCAGAACCTGAGGTTAAATACATGGTCGACCCACTCACGATCAGCTCTGAAACCTATCTGATCTTCCGAAGTTTGGTGTTTCCGACGTTTCGGCATATCGAACCATTGTCTACGATAACTTCTAATGGTAGCTGAAATAGTATTAGATTGGAGAAAAGCTAAAGGTGGAAAAACCAAGACATCGAACCAATTTATTAAGTCCCTTACTATTGTTGCTTATATATATATATATATATATATATATATATATATATATATATATATATATATATATATACCTTTGTGTATTTATGCCTTTACTTGTTTATCAGCTTTCACAGGTTGTCAAGGATTGCCAAAAAAGTATTGTGAGGCAAATTGTGCTTCTACTGCTTGTGGATGCTGAATCTGATAATCCGGAGAGCAGCATTAGCCTATTCGATATTATCTATCAAGCCCTTTGTACAGGTGAGCGTATGTTGATGTCAGTTATTATCTTTTGTAAGCTAACATTTATATATTTTCGGTTTACTGAGCGTATATTTTAGTATTCTCATTTTAACTTTGAGTTTTAATAAACATTCCTTTACAGATAACTGTGATCAAAATTCGTATGTTCAAACTATGTTTGATGAAGTTCTTAACCATTTGGAGTCGGAATCCTTGTCAGATGTAAGCGTAGTAGAATCCTGTCCTGCTTCTGCATTGAATAGCTTACGTCCATTGGTCAATCGCCTACTGACTCAGTTAAGAAATATTTATTATCCCCCTGTGCGGTCACCAACAGTACCGGACAGCTTTTTAAGTAAACAATTGGTTGGCGCCAAGGAACGAGTTTTATTCTCTCCTCAACGTCGACCTCTGATGGTCATGACAATCTGGTTGTCTCGATATTCAGTCACTGCCCAGGTATGTTTATTTAGTGTTATACTGTTGATTAAACTTTTTTTATTTTTGCTATTAAGTAACTTTAATTTTCTCATATATATATATATATATATATATATATATATATATATATATATATATATATATATATATATATATATATATATATATAGGGTAACATTTGAACGCTTTTTTAATTTTACTATTGTCAGTATCATTTTTTATGAAATTTGTCTCATGATATTGTTTAGATTGTACTTACATAGTCCTTCCAAAAAACTAAGTGATACATTCCATTTTAGTCTGTTTATGAGAAATGTCACCTGGTGAAATAGTATCATTTACTGGATAACGTTTCAGACAATTTAATGTCCATATTCATATTCATTTGGCTATGGATATGATATGAATATGGACAGTAAATTGTATCCGAAACACTATCCAGTTAAGGATACTGTTTCAGCGTGTGACATTTCTAATAAACAGACTAAAATGGAATTTCAATCTATCACAGGGCCCAAGTTTTGCTCCTAAATTGGGAAACTAAGCGATACATTTAGTTAACCGGTGGTCATGCAAATAGTGATTCTTTTTAGTAGTTGAGTCGATGATCTTGTACACGTTTTTGTATTTTTCCCATAAAATTAGTGGGAATCAATGGATTATGTGTATGATGTATACTTTATAGCGGATTCAATGACTTGTCAGGAAAGCCACAGAAACTAGAATGCTGTTATTTAGGACTTTGATGATTTCTGCAAGATAAGTTTGGTTCACTGCCAGTTCTTAGATGTGTGGATAGTTAAAAGTCCACATCCTCAGCTCAGATATCTTTGGTCTAACCTTAGCCAGGTCTTATTGGTGACATGACAGCTAGGGGAAGAGACATCAACGCAGGAGTGAGCATTTCTGTGTAACAGCTGAAACTGTTGTATTTTTCATTACCATATCAAGATAAAAGGTAACAATCGAGGAGACGAAAATGAAGATGAGACTACTAAAAGTAGCAAAAACTAGTACAAGAGAAGGTGAGGCAAATAACTATGTTGCATAAAAATCAAGAGAAGAACAAGGTGTGTGTACCGAACGATGAGGGCTGAGGCAACTTCTCAGATAAATAGAGTAATCGTCACGTCCAAATATTTCACTGTTTTTTGTCGAACAGAATTCGATTGAGGCTAACAATGCCAAACACTCTAATTGCCGCCTAGAGTGTCTGTAAGACTGCATGTTGCCAGCGTCTTCACCTAACAGGACTTTTTCATTTGCGTACTCTAGGTTGACTGACGAACCTCTAATGTGTATTTTAATATCTATTACTGTAAATAAGGAGACAGAAACTTTTAACTGATTTTCACTGAAGAATACAAAAAGATGTTAGTACCAAATAAGGTTGGAAATAAAAACCATCAACTGTTTTTCCTAGGCATATGTGTTAATTTCAGGCAAAGGATGCTATATTATGTACTTTCAGTGTTTCCTGAAAGAACTGAATTTTCTCATTGCAAAGTAATTTGGATTGTATGTTGGTAATTTCGTTTACCTTAACACATATTCGGTAGAGATCCTTTTTTGGTTAATTACAAGTTATTTCTATGATTCGTTATTTTGATATTTTTGTTTTCGAAGAGATGAAATACAAAACAAGTTGTTCTAACTGACGTTTCGATATTTGGTACTAATAGATTTGAAACCACCAAATCGCAACTTGGTTCGGTTATCTGTAAATTATTTTCTGTGCTGTATGCCTAGTGAATATTAAAATTAATCTTTCCTGCTTTTTCGGAATGCATTGTTATGATGCGGAGTTTTGAGAACGAACGGAAATACTTAACGATTGGTAGTCGGGGGTTGAGACGATGCTACCCAAGTGATTCGCAAAGAGAAATCAAAAGACTGGAAACCAGATGAGTTCATAGTATCTCGGACTGAAGCGTTTATGAGTGAAAACGGAACCTATTTATAGAAGTTACAATAACCTTGAAAGACATGGAGTAATTAGTATATTTAAAGAGGCAGGAGCCAATCAGAACAATAGCAGGTAGTATGGAATATGGCCCATACGCGGCAAAAGAGCACGAATATAACCCCGTTCAAATATACACGAAACTATAAGTATGGAATATAAGAGATATCGACATCCCTAACAATTATATATCATTTTTGCGCAGACTAGTGGAAACAAGATTTATCCATGTAACTTTGATTTGGAAAGGTAGTTATGTTTGTGAGGACAATAACAATTTTATAAGGATACGAATTTAATGAACCGATTCGTTATACGTATTCCAAAACTGTGTTACTCATTGCATTAGGAAGTTGCCTTTCGAACAGTATCCTGTCGGCTGGAACACCGTCCCACCTACGGAGGTTTGGATAGCTGGGTAATGTCATTAACCCTCATAAAATAAGTGTAGTTCATTCCCAGATATATGTAATTGACTTTCATCCACTGGGTTGTAGGTTCAAGTTCCGTTCCACCTGTAGTTTGACTAGTTAGATACCATCATTGGCGCTCATACAATAGGTATGACCAATTACCTAGAGCAACTTCGTCTGGTTAACTAGTTCACTAGTTACTAGTCGGTTCTAAGACCGGGTGAAGAGGGAAGGTTGGGCATAGGGATAGCAACCCTACACTGTAAAACCTACTCAATCTTTAAAGAAACTCCAAAGCACAAAGAAAATATAAAAAATAAAAACAAACTTATTCCTCATTGGAATCGGAGAGACGAAATGACGCCGGTTGGTGAAAGTCTTCGGGAAGCAAGTCGGCCGATGTTTCTTCTCTTCTCTCGATGGAAGCGAAAGTAAGGATAGAGACATGAAATGTCCGCACCATGTATGAACCTAGCAAGACTGCCCAGATCACAAACGAGATGAAGAGATATGGCATGGAAGTGCTTGGAATCTGCAGATGGAATGGAAGTGGACTTTCCAAACTGTCAACTGGAGAGTCAATAATCTACTCTGATATTGTCACCCAGACGACAACCACGAGCACACTGAGTTTTCGAGTGGTTATCATGATGTCCCCACAAGCATCGAAGGCTCTCATGCAGTGGGAACCAGTGTCCTCCAGTATCAGGATCATGACAGCAAGATTCAACTCAAAAGGAAGGAAGGAAGGAAGGGAAGTCACAATCATACAATGCTACGCTATCCACCTACAAATAATGCAGATGAAGAGAAGAAGGAGGAATTCTATAGACAACTACAATCAGTATTGGACAAGGCTCCAGATGGCGACATAAAAATTCTAATGGGTGCGGTGACATGAATGCCAAACTGTGAGCGGACAACAGGGGAAGAGAACTTATCATGGGTTGAGAAGCACTCGGTGAGTTGATGAATGAGAATGGGCAATTGTTTGCAGAATTCTATGCATTCAACGAATTGGCGATTGGAGGTGAGGCGAAGCGGTGTGTACAAACACGAGGATATTCACGAAGAGACATGGAATTGATTTCACCAGATGGACACTTTACACTAAAAATCAGATCGACTCTATCTCAATGTGAAGAAAGTGGAGACGCAGTCAGACTACTGGACGCAAGATCAAGAAGGAGAGCAGATGCAGGTTTAGACCACTCTCTTTCTAGTACAAGGAACCTTCCAAATGGAGTTGAAAGCCTTGAAAGAAGTTGATGATAGACTACAGTTGAAGTTGAACACTCAGAAACTGAAGGACGAAACTACAGAGGACATCTTCACGTCAGCCATCAGAACAAAATAGGAGGTATTGAGCAACATTCCTGAAGAAACCTGTGTGGGTGAACACTGGAACTCTTTGAAAGAGATGTGGAGGGAAATCTGCATAACCGTATTAGGAAGGAAGAAGAAGTAAGACGAGGGATGGATCTCGACGGACACATGGAAGCTGATAGAGGCGGGAGAGGAAGATGGTGAAGCAGAAGGTGAACCAGTGCAGTGCAAGGATGCACAAAGCAAAGAAGAACTGAGTACAACGTATAAAACACTACACTGGACAAAAGAAGTGGAGAAGAGTGCGCGGAAAGACACTTCTATGACACACTTCCAAGTGAAGCAGAACAGGCTGCTGTTAGGAGAGACCCGACAACATTATGTGGAAAAACCAGGTTACTATCGCTCTGAGAAGAGATCAGTGCAGGTGAAACCAATGAGAGATAGTGAAGGGAAGCTAGTTACCGAAGAGAAGAAACGAAGGGAAGGATAGACTGACCACTTCGAAAAGCTCTTGAATCGACCACCGTCACGACCTGCAACTCGTCCAGAAATACCACCAGCAGAGAGGCCACAGAACTACCAGTGAACACAGGCCCTCCGACAAAAGCAGAAGTCCTGAATGCCATAAAACTGCTGAAATTCGGGGAAGCAGCAGGACCAGATGGAATTCCGCCTAAAGTACTGAAGGCAGACGCAGAGACAACAGCGGACATGCTCACACCACACCACTACTACAGAAGGTTTTGAAAGAAGGGAAGGTACCTGCTGGTTGATTGGAAGGAGGGGTACCTTGTCAAACTCCCAAAGAAGGGAGACCTTAGTCTTTGCAAGAACTGGCGCGGAATCATACTCCTGTTCTTGTCAACTGACTTGCTTCCAGGTAGGTGTCAGGAAGTCCTAATACGAAGCCGTGACCTGTGGGGTCAACCAGTCGGAAGTGAGGTGGATGCTAACTGAAGACCTTGGGAGACAGTCGCGCTATGTCATGAATTGTCAGAAGTTGGAAATTGTGAACCACTGGAAACCGATCCATTGGCTGAATGGTTAGCGCATTCGCCGTGAAACCTGAAGGTCTTGAGTTCGATCCCTCCATAGTGGGATCGTGGGTGCGTACTGCTAAGGAGTCCCATACTAGGACGAAACAGCTGTCCATTGCTCCCGGATTTTCAATGGTTCCCCAACTGATGTCAGTCCATGATGAATAATATATATATATATATATATATTCTTCTGAATACTTATGTTACAAACAAAATCTGCTTTCCAGTGTCAGTAATAATCACCCATTGAGTCAATTGATAGCAGTTGACTTTTGTGTGTTATAACCTTGAAAGTAAGATTATTTTGTTTCATAGGTGATTTCTGAACAATATCTGTGTATTTTAACTAAGAGATTTAAATACATGAATTTACTGCTGTAAATGACAGCTACTACCTTGACGTGGTGGTCGGGCTTGCTTATCACAATGACCCAACCAGGTATTCTAGTGGAACACGTCTTCTGAAGAGGTCTTCCATACCAGAAAGGTCTCTTGGATAGTGATTAGATGAAAAGCAGTTATGGTTATGGTGTAAGTTGCTACACTATGATGAGGGTATGAGGGTGAAGTCGTACTGCTGTTAGCTGGATGGGGTGTGATAGCAATAAGGTTTTTTCCTTGGGATGACCAGCAGTGCGATGCTGATGCTGCCTTCTCAGTGGAACGGGGTAGGAGTTAGAAGAGGTTGGCGCCAAAAATAACACACTCCATCATTCCTCCGACAGTCTGCTGGGTCGGCGATGTTGGTTCGTTTGTCGTTTGTTTTCGACCATCCGGCCCCAAAACAAGAAAAGTTCAAAATAAAATCATACACAAAAGGCTGAGTGTGACAAGCCTCAAGCAGATGTCCGATGGGCTCTGCGGTCACACAAATCTCTTTCAGGTACGTATGAAGAAACAGCTCTCCAGGGTAAGGGCAGCCGGGAAGTGTCAACCGCCCTCACAACTCTGTCACCACTCTAGTCTATTTACACTGCTATCCATCTCACTCATCATTACCTTCTAATCTTCTTTCACGTCTCACAACTAACAATACTACATCATCTTGAATTTCTCCTAGATCTGCACTTTTCAACTACGATTTGAATACACAGAACAGCATCTCTGGTCTCTTGAGAAAAAGTCTACGCGACGACCGCGAACAGTGGTGGGCAGCGAGGGTAAAGAGATGGAAAAGGTAGCTACGATTGTTAACAGTAGACAGTTATTTAGATCTACTGGGGAAACTGGGGGGGGGGGGAGAGAGGAAGGTCAACTGCGGTTAGTGAAGCTATAGCGGAGACGGACGGATCTGCGATTCACTCGCAGAGGAGATGACTGGAACAACGGGCAGAACACTTCGAGAAGCAGTTTGACTGGCCTTCAGCCACCATTGTGTTGCCCGCAATCCAGTTGGATCCTGAATGGAACATTGAGATAGGCCCCCTAACACTAGGAGAAGTGGAGGAAGCAGTAGGTTACCTGGAACGAGGAAGAGCAGCAGGACCAGATGGACTAACTCCAGAGGTACACAAGGATAGTGGGAAGGTGCTCTTAGTTGGGTTAACGAAAGTGTTAACTAGTATATGAGAATCAAATACGATCCCCTCTGACTGGTCTAAATCATTGATTATCCCAGTCTTCAAGAAAGGCGAGAAGTCCTTTTGTGATAACCACAGAGAAATCAGCCTGACAAATATTGTGTTTAAAATCCTAGGTTCTACAACTCTTCGACGCCTAATTGGAGCTCGAGAACAGCTAGCGCGAGAAAACCAGGCAGGCTTTAGACCCGACCGCGGGTGTATCGACCAAATATTCACACTGCGCCAGGTCCTGGAACATAGACACGCTTACCGACGCCCGATACTGGCTGTATTTCTCGACCTGAAGGCGGCATTCGATTCCGTTGATCAAGAAGTTTTAAGACAGCCCCTCACTGAAAGGCGTGCCGCGTAAGTACATCATCTTATTGAAGGCTCTCTACTCGAACACTTGTGGGCGTGTTGGAGCCTATGGTGAGATGTCTAGAGAGCTATCCTGATCGAATGGTGTCCGTCAAGGCTGCCCACTGTCTCCACTCTTTTTCAATTTTATCATAGATATTCTTATGGAGGTCTCATTCTCATCACCTAATTACACAGAGGTTGACCTAATCGCAGGAAAATTTTTGTTAGACCTAGAATATGCAGATGACATAGTCAGTCCTGTTAGGTGAAGACGCTGACGAGATGCAGAGTCTTCTGAACACTTTGAGTGGGAATTTGAGAATGTTTAGGATGCGTTTCTCATCACTCAAATTCAAATTATGGCTCTAGGATTGGTCTTCAACGGTGCCACAGCCAACAATAGAAAGTGTAATGATTGAGTGCGTCGACCACTTTACTTATCTGGGAAGTGGGATCAGCCCTGGTTGCTCAGTGGGTGATGAAATCTCTAAACGAATACAAAAGGCTCGACTGGCTTCTGGCAACTTACGCCACCTGTGATGCCGCCATGATATCCGATTGTCTACTAGGGATGGTGTGTACTGCACTTGCACAGCAGTCCGGTCTGTTCTACTGTATGGCTGTGAAACATGGCCATTGAAGGTGAAAGAGATGATAAGGGTTGAAGTGTTTGACCACCGTTGCCTTTGTAGCATAGGCCGTATTCCTTGGTGTCACCACGTGAGTGAGTAACGTGGAAGTCAGGTGTAGCATTTTAGGGAGAAGAGGTAAGTCAGTTGACGAGGTTATGAACCTTCATCGACTGAGATAGTTTGGATATGTGTTACGTATGCCTAGTCGCCGATTGCCTCGTCACACAATGTTGGCCGAAGTAGGTTTAAGCTGGAGAAAGGCTCGACGCAGTCAGACTAAAACATGGCATCAATGTATGAAGTGTTTGACTGTTGGTTTGAGGCATGTGGGATGATACAGACTGGGTGGTTGGGGTCCACAAGACAAGAGGAACCAGTCAGTAGTTGGAGACTCTATTTGATGATATGGCTGAGAACCGATGTCAGTGGCAGAGATGTATATGCATACATTATCCTCATCTTAACGACGCTATACTGAATCTCACCATTTTCTCATTTTTCCTTTCTCTCTTTTCATACCTTATATTTCTTTTGACTGAATTTTCTTATCTTCATCTTCCACTTCACTGTCTTTTTACTTGATGTACTGATGTTGAGGTGTTGCAACTCGGACCCGTTACTTAGTAATGCCTGGTCCTATGTTGATATTGATGATGATGATGATGATGATGATGATGATGAAATGAGAGAAATCAATAGTAACAAAAGTACCAGTGGTCATCCTAAAATTTAGGATGGGTGGTGGTACTATGGACAATCTAGTTGGTGTTCCCAAGTATTATTTTCACGTAATACATAATTGACGAAACATTTTCACACTGTTTTGTATGAAGCAATCCAAGGACATGCATTTTATAACTTTTTAAAATGTATTTGTGAGATTTTCTATGTAGGATTCACTTTACAACAAGATCGAATATGGCTTGCGTTTTTCACCATTGGCTTTGTCTTCCATCTTGTGATATACCTACCAAAACTATCCATTAACACAGATTTTTTTCATATCAATTTATTTTGAAGCTGCTTATCGAGGCATCATTTCCTAAAAACTTTTCAAATGGTTCATTCAGACCAGAAGAATTTGAGGGTGGTTTATTGGGTCGACTGTTAGTTCCTAGTCACTTGCATTCACCTCAACCAGCAGAAACAATATTTTTAACTGATCAACCTCCTATCGGTGAATTTTTCACTGCAGAAGTGCCTTTGAAACCAGTTGTAGAATCTGAACAGCGTACAATATGGCAAGTATGTTACCTCTTGTATTTATGTTTTTTATCTGATGTGTATGTTTGAATCTTATGAGACCATTGTGACATGGTATAGTTTTCACAGCTGATATATTTACTTATTGTTACTGCCTATAGGCATGTGTATACCGTGGAGTGTTGTTATTACACTTGTGGTGTTGAAAATACACCAATAAATTTGCATATTTTTACCGAAAGTTTCTCTTCATTGTAGCTAAAGACATTATAGCTTGTACTGTGGCACAAACTTCCGTGGTTTAAGTATATATATATATATATATATATATATATATATATATATATATATATATATATATATATATATATATATATGAGAGAGAGAGAGAGAGGAGAATAACTCAAAAACGAAGAGCTGTATATATATTGATGTTTCAAGCAAGTGATCGTTAAGGAGTTCGCTTATTATATCACCTTGTACATTATACACTACGAATGTACAGTTTGAGAATAAATTTGTTGAAAAGTATCCCATTCGCTGAATATCTTGTTTTAACTTTGTTGTTTTTCGCATGCTGTATATACCCAGATATTTCTTCAATGTTATGAGTATTTTCACGTTTTGGAGGTTAACAATATTACTTTTTTGTCAGTAGATGTCACAAATGCACGCAGGTTACATTTTTCGATTCCATTGGGGTCGACTTTACCACACCAGTCGACAGTCGTCTATATGCTGTTCAACTGAATGGATATGTGACAACTAGGAAGGATCATGAGACTAAGCAATGCCTATCCGTAATCTTCGCCTGCGTACCTATCGACCGTAGTTCAGATGATGCAAAACATGAATTCTATGAGAAGCTGTCAATTTGCTACAGAAAGCAAAACGTTCAGATATAGTTAATGGCAGGTGACTTTAATGTTCAAGTAGGGAAACTGAGCTGAGCCAATGGGAAAGGCATCTTGGATGAATTAACGGGATCGCATGCCAACAAACTGGCAAGATTGATCGTCTGTTGCAACTTTGCTCCGACAATCACTTGTTTCTGACCAGCACTAACCTTAGGCATGCAGAGAGACTGTCTCCCGTGGCGTCCGCCGGTAACCGACCAACGTTTGACATATGGATCACATTGATACAAACCAGCCATCGTTGGAGGATTGCCGCTCTTTCTTGAGTACCTATATGGACTCCGATCACGCGTTAGTACGGGCTCGTGTATATCTGCACCTTTCTAGTCGCAAAAACCTGCAGCAGTTAAGCCTTTGTGTGTTAGACTGAAAGATGAGAACATCAAGTACACATTTAAGGAGATAACTAAGCATTTATCTGAACACGACAGCAATGCTCATCCTGAGATATACTCACGTGATAGTAAGTCCGCTATAGAAACGGCGGTAGGGACGGTCTGTAGACTACATCCAAAGGTTAGTAAAAGTCATTGAATCTCTGCAACGTCATCTGAACTGATTGATGAGAGAAGACTGATTCCAGCTCGTTCAGACCACAATGAGGAGCGAAAGTAACTGAAACGTAAATTGATCATGAGTCCTCGTGATGACTGCGAGCAGTGGTGGGCGCCGAAAGCGAGAGAGATGGGGAACGCATCAGCATTAGGTAATATGCACCAATTACTTAAACGTATTAAAGAAGGCGTCGGGTAACTTGTTTGGTTGGTTGACGATGCTGGTAGGAAGAAAGATGATTGTTAGTGAGATCACCACTGAAAAGAATGCTACCCTGATAATTTCTCAAGAGATAGTTATAAGGTTGAGAAGAAGACTTTAAAGGACAGTTCAAGTCTCTCGCATCAATGTTTCAGTATCCTAACATCCAGCATGAACGTGACTTAGACGTAAATTCTTGTTCTATAGCTGTCCTTGAGGTTGAGAATTCTGTTTTGAACCAGAATAGATGGAAAGCATCGGGATCTGACAGTTTACCACCCGAAAGTTTCAAGGGTGTAGTTAAGAAATTGCTGATTAGAGTGACAAGCACTAGGTATTGTGTGGGAATCAGAGGTAGTGCCACCAGACTGGTGTACTCCACTTATCATCCCAGTCTGTTAGGAGTGGGAGAAATCTTTTGTCAACTATGGGACAATTTATTTGACTAACAATGCGTCCAACATCCTTGGGTTCACAGTAATTCGACGCCTAATTGGAGCTTGAGAATTAAAAACTTGAGAGAATCAGGTAGGCTTCAAACCTGGACGGGGCCGCGTCAGTCAGTTTTTCACCCTTCGACAAGTTCTGGAACACAAGTATACGTACTGGTGGTCGACACATGACATATTTCGTGATGTGGTGGTGAAGTTTGACTCTGTCGATCGTGACTTGTTGTGGCAGTGTCTGACTTTGAAGGGAATATCGATTAACTACATGACGTTAATCAAATCTCTCTACTCGAACTCATGCAGGCATTTCAGGGCTTATAGAGAGTTGCCATTGGTGTTGACGACAACCGATAGTGTCCACAAATCTTTATCAACCTTATTCAACAGCTATAAGTCCCTCACTGGGTAAAGTACATGACATCATATTGGCAAACCCGTTCCCCACGTTTCTTTTTATTTATCTCTTCATAATCCGGAACAAATATGTGAGGACTAGAATGTGATTGTAACAAGTTGAATATGCATATTGTGAACTGGAGTTGGGTGCCTTACCTATGTAATTTCTCATTTGAACTCTACTCTATACATGACGTTATCAAAACACTGAAAAGATCCAATATCTAACAGTGAAAATGAAACAAATCGGTTCAGTGAACCGTTTATACAAGGTAAATCGCTCATTCTAAACACTCCTATTCATTAAAAATCTAACACTAATTTAGATACAGAATAAAGCAGAACGTTTGTCTGTAATGATGTCAATCACTGTTTTATGTTGTTTCATCAGTGATAGACGTATGTCCATAAAGCTGTGACTTATTGGTTTAGGAGTTCACTTTTAATCAATGGGTTGCGGGTTCGAACACCGCTTGACCTACCGAGGTTTGAACAGCCAGGTATCTTTCACACAATAGGTGGTGCTCATTATCTACTTCATGAATGTGCATGAGGTTGTTGGGTGTATTTCGATTTCGATCGTTTCCTTAAAAAGGTAGTAATTAACTGCACATATACTTTAGGGGACATTATTTTTATAAAAATGCTAACTTCAGTATTATGTGGAATGTATTCATCATCATGAGAAATTTTACCATAATGACTATGCCTGTTGTATTACAGTTTTGTATATTCCTGTGATGTATACTACTTAACATGCATTATTGTAACGTGTACCTGATTATCATTATTATTATTTTTAGTATCGATTATTACTTTCTATTTGGCATTAAATTATTTTAGTTGACTGAACAAATGGATTTAGAATTAAACACCTTATTCACTAATTTACTCAGAGTTGGTAAACGTCGTCCGTATGTAAAAAGATTGTTGTTCAAGTGGTTTGGAGCATGCATTCACGCTAATAGAGGTATGTTTCTTTCTGTTTAATGTCTACCTTACTTATTTATACTTCAATATGTAAAACATGGGAGACGATTGCAGAGTAGAAACAATTTTCTTTTTGCCGATATCATTCTCTTACCTGTACACTTGTGAATATATAGGAAAAAGGATAGAACACTCCAGAGTAATTTCCAGCCAATGGTGAATATAAGTTGTGTGACAAAGGGAATTTACGTGATTTCTTTAGGCGTTTGAAATGACTACCTGAGCTAGCCGTAGTTTGGCCGACTAGTATTATTACAGGGTGATGATTGAAGGTGGAATGAAAATTTGAACCGCTGTCAGATTCGAACCAGCGACCACTGGGTTTCCGGCCCGATGCTCCACCAACTGAACTGCGACAGTAAACCTAGTCAGCATTCGGACCTCGTAGCGCAGTTGGCATAGCATCCGGTCGGAAACCCGGTGGTCGATGGTTGAAATCCGGATGCGGTGCAAATTTTCATCTCACCTCTAATCACCACCGAGTATACAAACAACCTTATCAAAAATCATCAGCCAGCTTCATATCTACAAAGTACACATAGATGATACCTTTATTATTTGTGACAAGAACATGAATATTGAAAAATTGCTCCAAACTTTCAATAACGCTCATCCATTTGTCAGATTCACTCTAGAAACGGAGTCAACCTCAAATTTCCACTTTCTTGATGTCCAACTTCAAAGAAAAGATAAAGATTTAATCTAGAGTTCTATTTACCGATAGCTCTCTTGTAATGGGCAGTTTACTAATTTTCAAGACTATCTTCTTAAGCAAAAAGAGGGACCTCATAAGTTCACTCTCTTCAAGAATTCGATAAAAGTGCTTGGAGAATGTCATGGAAAATGAACTCGAGAACTTTTGAGAAATCCTTCTGGAAAAAGATACCCACTGAAATTTGTAGACCAGAATCTGAAGTCGATAAACACCATATAGCGCGTGCATACTGCTCCAAAAAGATTTTACCGTTGAACCTCGAATTCAAAGGAGCCAATGTGACAGATATACTTAGAGATTTTCAAGATCCATAAACAGAACATTCTTTACCGCTAATCTTAGAATCATATTCTCCTGTTAAGAAGTCATTCGTCAGTACGCAAAGGATGAGCTGGAGCGTTGAACCATACCAATGTGTGCCTATGAGATTACTTACTCCTGTGGAGCTGAGTACATCGGTCATACTATGAGCCAGCTTATGCAGCGTGCTCGTGAATACTATCCGACTTGTTGACAAGGGGAGAGCAGAAATGCATCCTCAGTTCTGTAACAGAACACTAAATAAACTCAGGATATTTGGCTCCTTTTGATAAGTCCTTCAAAATGTTTATACAAAATGTGACCAAGCCACTCGAAAGGAGTAAGGTTAAGATATCTTGGGATAGGTGAAGCATTAGCGATTGAAAGTTCAAACCGTTTCTATACAAAAAGTATGTACAGTCTCTTTCTTTACCATGACCATCCTAGAGTATCGATCACTCTAGATAATTCCTGTATGACGTAACTATTTTCATTTTGCAGTTATTGTTTTATTCCTTTATTCTAAATGCCTGTAAACATTGCGTAACTTCCCTTTAATATAGGTGTAAAACTTGGGCACTGTGATAGAAATTAATTCCATATTAGATTTGTGTACTTGATTTATAACACCCAGTGATCTAGTATTATTTATTTGATGACGTTTCGAGCATAAATTATTGCTCATAATCATATCAATGTCATTGATCACTGTGTGTTATAAATCAAATAAACAAATCTAATATGGAAGTAACTTCCCTTTGTTACACAATTTACATTGAACTTTGACCGGAAATTACTCTAGAATTTTCTATCCCTATCCTAGCTGCAATCGAGTTCTGTATATATAATTTTAACTTTTTCGACTGCCTGTTACTGTCAGGATTAATGATTATTCTTTGAAGATTTGGTTTTCAGCATGCAAGCACTTCTTTACTGTATGCATCGTTAGTCTACTGCGTAATTCATTGACACTCGGAAATGTAACACAAATGTTTTCTTTTTTCGCCAACAGATTGAATCATAATCAAGGATAGGCCTTTAGAATTTGATGTGGTCCTTGTAAAGCAGATGTTCTTCATCGGTTCTCGTCTTTTTTCCTTAACTATATATGTATATTTTCGATTTACAACTCAATGGGTAGTATTATATGATATCTATGGAATCTTTGAACATATTTAGTGTGTGAAGTCATGTAATATAACTTGGTTATCAATGTCGGAGAACATAGAGCAGGCTATAACCCTTCACTCTGGTTCGTAGTCTTATATCTAAATGAATTACCGACTACTCCACTATATTCGCATTCGATTCAATTAATTGTTGAGTATTCAGAGTTATTCGACAAAATGCACTTAAATTAGGCTTTGTTCTTGTTCGTAGTTATGAACAGGGTGTCTGTCCCAGTCTTCCTGCTGGGCAGCAGTGGGATCCAGGACGTACGTTTCGTCCAATTTAAGACGGCTGGAAGTACCTGCACCCAAGTGAGACTCGAATCCGGTACCCATCGCTTCAAACCCCAAAGCGTTATCCACCGAGGCATGAGAGCCACCTCTTGTATAATGAATATCTTTTGTTGTTTGATACTTGTAATATCCTGTTGCTATACTGGGTCGAATCGCACGACTTCTGTTGGCAGATGGGCTCTTATGCGGACGCTTTGATACTACTCGGTTACTCACTTTGTTACAGTGTGCTTGATGGTTACCACTGAAATCCAGAACGTGCGTTTCTTCCTATTTGGGACTCATTTTTTCATCCATTAAGAGATTGAAGCCCATATCTCTGAGCCCTAGACCCAGAGACTTTACCACTAATGTACACAGTCACGACTGACCCCTGTATGTAAGCCAGTCAGACACCAGGTGGTAACCAATGTAACTATAAAGTCTTGAACGCATTCCACTCGGTAAATTTTTAATGTTTGAAAAAGTCATTTATATGTGTCCTAGATATTGGGAAGGGGACAGATAAGAAAACGCTGACAATTAGTTGACAGCGAATCATTCAACTTGTTGTCGGAAAGATTTTTCAAACTTTTGTATGATAATTATTTGAATGAGGTTGATAAGCTCTTCGAGTCTCAGGGCTTCTGTGGGTGATATCTCATAAGACACGAAACTTGGAAGAATTCTCATGAACACCGTTCGTTATTTTACTCACAGTGTTAAAAGTTGCGATAATTTTGAATGCTTCTCAGATGTGGTTGATACTGATGCTGATGGGATTCTTGGGTATAAGCAGTCAGCTACCTACTACTCATCTTGGCATAATTTCGGGTTATTGTGATTTATCGCTGCACAACTAGTACAGCCTTCAGCCTTGTACACGATTCCGTGTGTAGTTACTGGGTTGTGTTTTCGTCAGTCTAATAGGCCGAATCGAATTGAGTGATTGTTAGCTACACCTTCGTACACATACTTTTTAGACATTATAAGATTCCTTTATTGACTAGAATTCCTGTCCATTTATGTTTCTTGTAGTTTTTATTTCACAGTGGTGATTTTTCTATGCTTGTTACTGTGTCTTTAGCAAATTAAACGAAATCACATTTGTGCTAAGTTGTTTGTGGTTGTGTTTATCTATCGTTTCTTCATTTGCGCGAGTGATCAGTAAATACAACTGAAATGGATAAATGTGGGTGACGTGGGAATTGAAACTGCTTTCAAACAGCCCAACTTGCTGCATTTTAAATCAGCACATCAAGTTAGAAGTCAGTGTGTGTGTGTGTGTGTGTGTGTGAAGAGAGAGAGAGAGAGAGAGAGGAAAGATAAACAAGTGAACATGATATTTCCTGCGGCCGTAACTGTCATAAACAATAGATACTGTGAGATAAAATGAGTTGAGATGTGTCACAATTCTGACGAACATGAAGCACAGGTGTAACTAAGGTCGATTCTGGGCCACATTTCATTCATTCTCCAGCTATCGGTTTCTGTTGTCTCGTAGACCTCAACCAGAAAGCAAAGACTTCCCTACAGTGTAGTAGTCATCTGTAATTTCATTCAGAATAATAGGTCATAATTACTGTGTAGGTGATAGGACTGCCCGACTACTGATGAAAACGGTATATATAAAGAAGGACTTGAATCTGACTCAGTACATTTTTAGTAAGAAAGGAGTTTTTTTTAGGTCAGTCACCGTCAACATTGGACCTAGTATTTCGTGTAACAAACAGTGCAAGCTGTTGTACTTCATACCAGGTGCGTATAGAATTTATAGATGATAAAGTTGTACTGCGAGACGACACTTTCTGTACATATCTGATGTTTCATTCTGGTATCCGTTTCAAAATCATATATTTTGCACTTAGATGCTATTAACATGAGACCATACGTCATTTAAGCACATCAAGTGAGAATACTTCATTGTGAAAGATAAAGAAATAAAGAAGAAAGCGGTTAAAGGCGGTAGATGTTCATGAAAAGAAAACAAGGAATAAGGCAGTACTGATATTTGGTTTGATAATTAAAATGAAGATAAAGTGTAAATACATTTGCGCCATTGATATCAATTCTGAGGCATATCACCGAGTGTCTCAACCACTGGTGTCTTTTGTCACGTGGAACCCGACTGATAAGTCAACATCCTCCTAGACTGCTCTGACCAACAGTCAGGGACTTCATAGATTAGTCCTTCCATCCTGACCGTATTTCAGCCAACATTTTGAGTTAGTGCAGGCGGCAACTTGTCATGCTGTACACATGTCTCAGCCATCCTAATCGATAAAAGTTCACAACTTCATCAACTGAATTTCTCGTAATATTTGAAGTTCTACGCGTAACATTTACACTACTTATATGGTGACATTACGAAACGGCCTATGCTATTAAGGCAGTTTTGGTCGAACACTTGAAGTCTTTATATCCTATACCTTCTGTGGCAATGTTTCTCGACCATTTAGTATAAGAGAGAAAACTGAAGTTCAGTACGCTTGTTCATTGATCCGCCGTAAGTGCTGTAAGTTG